GAAGTTAAGGCAAAAAGAAAATTAACCATGTCTTACACAGCGCTCTTACCTTTATTTTACCTTTAATGATAATTGTTGTCAGTTATAGATAATTAAGTTGGAGTAGTAATAAGGAAGTCTTTTTTTTTTTTCTATAACAAAAAATAAGGCAGGTTAGTATATGCAAAGGATATATCACTTTTTTGTTCTATAAACAGGAAGCACAGTCCTATGCAGATGACAACAGTTTATTATTCATGGAGACATCAGCTAAAACATCAATGAATGTAAATGAAATATTCATGGCAATAGGTAAGGTTAACTTTTTTTCAACAATAAATATAGGCAAAAGTTACACTGGGGCTATTTGGTTTGACTCTTTAAATTCTTGGATTTTCTTTCTTTTTCTTTGGGGGTTTTTTGGTGTATGTTTTTCTTTTAATGATTCTACAACTACTTTAGATCTCTTCCACCAAGCATTACTTAGTCATATTAAATTTGAAAGATTATTACCTATTAGGTTGTAATACTTGCAGTTTAGTTTCTTCTAAGTGATTTAAAAACCTGGACTTTGAGCTGATAGTTCAAGCAGTAAAGATTTCACTGAGAAATTTGGGTAAATGTATATTTCTATTAGGTCATACTTTTTATATAAAAGGAAGGAAACTCGGAGCAGTATTTTTCAATGCAACATGTAGATATAATGAGATTTCTTTCTCACTGATCTATAACTATTTTCATCTGTCCTTTTCTCTAAACAGAGCACTATTTTTGTTTTTCAAGTTCCTTTTAAATCATTATTGGCAAATAACACAGAAAAGTACATGATACATTTGTATACAGATGTATAGATTATTTTAATGCAAATATTGTAATGGAGAAAGTTTCAAAGCACGAGGCACAGAGAGAAAGGGAAAGCAAAACATCCATGCTTTGTAGGGCCTCAATTGTCATTTGATCCTACATAGCACTCTTACCTTTCTTTAAGGTACTTTCAATTGAGGATGTTTGCTGTTCCTTAGTGTTTGATTCTAGGTAATGAAGTTGGAATGGATATAAGGAAGTTTCCTTTTTTCAATAACAAAAGTATTTTTATTGACCCCCAACCTCCTTCCAGTAGTTTTAAGGTACAGATTTTATGGGAAGAATCTACTTAACGTTCTCAGTTTTCTGCCTCCACACTATTCATGTGCAGGTACTCTTCTTGTCCCATAACATCTTTTATTACACAGCAGTGGTTATTAACTGGGTATCCACATTCCTATGCCCAAATAAAAAATCTTCTTTTATATTGAAGTCTGTTAAGAGCTGATTCGGAGGCTAAAGGAAACTCAGTAAAAGCTGCAAGTACTGTCTCAATGTCTTTCACTAGGTGAGAGTTCAGTGGTGTCTTATTTAGGAAAAAACTTGCCTCTTTTTTGTGTAAAATATTTTCCTGAGAAATTCAGGCTTGGAGTTATTAGAGAAATACTAGAACAGTTGTGAAGGATTGAGCAACAGTATGCTCTTTTTATAAATGGGCAGATTATACCCAGAACCACATCTGAAAAGTTAACAGGAAACGAAGTAATTGGTCCCTCAAATCATACTGAACTTTAAAACTTTCTGATGGTATTAAGACTACCAGATGGGCTTTATTTAATTTGTATTTTTTTATTCAGATGTGCTAGTAAGGTCATTTTTCTCGTCAGAATATTAGAGTGTTCATTTATTTTTCTAAAATTAAAATGTTTTTTTTTTTTTTCATGAAAGAAATCTCAAGTGTAAGTTGAATTGTGGCTTTTCTATTTCTTTTGCCAGATTAATAACTTAAATAAATCACACAGTACACTCATATTTTTACATGTGATGACTTCCCAAAGGGAGTACACTTATTTCATAGAAGAAAGTCTACAGTAAATTTATCATCTGCTTTTAATTTTATAAGGTCTTGAGTGTCTTCTTTCTTGACACACATTTATTAACTTGATCTAAGATTTTTAGCTTCTCACAATCCAAATTAATTTAGGGACAAATTGGTAAGCTGCAGTTATCCACATAAAAAAACAGAAAGCACCAGCTTCACTTTTGTAACACTCAGTAAGGTATGAGGTAGAAATCAATGTCTTTTGAGATCCCAGAAATGTCTTCACAGTAAAAATTAACCAATAGATTATAAAAGTTCTTTATTCCAGTTTATTTCCTTTTCACTCATCTCTTAATTACAGAAAACCCTTGGAAAATTATGCTAAGGGGAGAAATGAACACTCAAAACAGAACTTGATATTAATTGTAATAAAGTTTACAGTTGACTGGAAATTTACCATTTTATTACTGTTAATATTACCATCCCTAGAGCAATTCCTAGAGAAGTGGCTCAAAGTGATGACTTTTCTTCCCAAACCTCAGTGCTCCTGGCTCCTAGATCCATTGCCTAGCCCAGCATCCAGAATTCTAACGATAATGAATACCGATGTGGAGTTTTATAACAAAGGATAAAAGATCTAAAACACAACTAGACATTCAGATTTTGAAGTAGAGCATATTCAGCTTTTGTGTAAACTGAGCCAAGGCTAAGGTTAAGTTAGAGTCTTACCATAGTAGTTTATCCCAAGGTTAATAGAGACCAGTGTGTCTAGCCATCCTTACAATCTGTACTCTTAAGAGATGTTTAATATTTAGTGAAGCAAGAACATCAAAGACCTTTGAGAGCCATGCTCCAGAGAACAGCATTAGTTGTACAGACCTTAGCAGAGCTAAAGCCATAACTGCTGATTGAGGGGCTTTGTTCAGATGTGGAAAGCCATACTCATCTGACTCAAAATTGGGAAATAATTTTTTGAGAGAGCCACAGGAACAATTAATTGCACTTACATTAGAGCTATTGGTGAATCCAATTAGATTTCTCAGTTAGCCATAAGAGAGGGGGAAATGGTAGATGTTAAGGGTAAAATCTCTGAAAGCCAGAAAGAAAATAGGAGATATGATTTTTTGTGATTTGGGGTAATAATTACATTACACAATAGAGGAAAAGTGCTGCTGGGATGATGGTATTTGTTTATATACTGACTTGTTCCAAAAAGTATTTATCACAGTCGAGATGACATTGATACAAGCTCAACTTCTTTATAAATGTATTGGCTGGCCGTCATCTTTATTAACTTAGATTTTCTTTAAATAATAGAAGTATTAATGATTATGAAATTACAACTTTTTCGATATTAAATATATCTATATGAAGAATTAAATATAGCTTTAATCAACTTAAGTTTTTATGCGTGTCAACGCCTGGTCCCCATTTTACCCTTCCCTCAACCCACTAAACTCCCTAAGGACTATGCCCAATGTTTTGGTATTTAATAGATACTCAATAAGCATTTGAAAAGAATGAACATATGGTTATGTGATACTTTGAGATAATACCTAAATGGAAAGGAAGATTGTAAGTAAGCAGATGAAAGTAATTGTGATATGAATATTCTAATTGTGTTTTAATTATTTATCTCTCAGCTAAAAAGTTGCCAAAGAATGAACCACAGAATCCAGGAGCAAATTCTGCCAGGGGAAGAGGAGTAGACCTTACTGAACCCACGCAGCCAACTAGGAGTCAGTGTTGTAGTAACTAAACCTCCAGTTTGAACTAGCTGGAATATTCTTCTGCTTCCTAAATGTCAATAACAGTGGAATTGGAGCATTTAACCAGCTCAGTATGACTTCTAAAAAGAAGAGACTTATGATAGATTCAAGTTTCTAATACAGAATTATTTTAAGTGTTTTGAACTTAATTTTTAATAACATGCATGTGACCCTCTGACAAATGTTTCAGCAGTAGAAGGGGGAAAGAAGAGCTGTGTGTACACTTATTTCCTTGGAAGGTTAGGGGGAATCATTTCTCATCTCCAGGGATATAGACAAATGACTATCCGAACCCACAGTTAACCAGCCTGTTCTATGAAAAAGATTTGGACTTAAAATAATTGAGCTTTTCAAAAATATTCATTTTTTAGAAGCAGGTTCTAAAGATATTATGCTTAGCTACAGTAATTTCTCTTAATATCCATATTTAAAGTGTACATTCCACATTTTAGCAAATTAGCCACAAGAAGACAGTCCCACATCTTCCAGGGGGAAATGAACATTAGTGGCATCTAAATTGTAGCCAGTCTTGTTATTTTTTTAAATGAGGTAAAAATAAAATAAAGTGTAACCCTGTCTTGTTTTAAGAATATGAAAACTGATAAATGCATCTTAATGGGTAGTGTTCCCTTCAAACGTAAGCTCTTCCACAGAAGTGAAACAAACCAGGTGTCTGTGATTTCTGTTTAATCACTGCTGGCCATTACATAGGTTTTGTCATTTCGGGGCAGGGAAGAGGATTTTATTCCCTTCGGACTTAATATAGTCAATGCACTAACAATTATGTACATTCAGACCTGATTATTTTAAATTTGATCTTCAGCTGTACTGTAAATAGGGTACCGCATTGTAGTCTCCATATGTTTACTTTTCTGTAATATTTAAGAGTTGCTTAAAGGTATACAAAATGTACAGTTATTAAAACAGCTAATGTTTTTCCTTCTTGCCCTCTTTGAACAGAAGGGGCCTCAGTTGTTCCTATGCGGCTAGAACCATAAACAAACAATGTACCGGTAATTTGTAACATAAGTATTGCAATATGTTAGTAACAGTTTTGCAGCCTTGTTTTCCAAAGTTCATTTTATTTCAATCAGTTCAGTACATTGCACTAATTGTTTTAGGTATTTTCATTATATGAAATCTACCATGTATCAGAGATGATTTAATCTATTTAAGTGTTGAAATGCTAGCAGAACTTGTACATTTACAGTAATTCAGAATTAGTAAGGAAAACAGTTCACCAGTGTTTAGTTTTATATTGAGGTGCTCAGGTTGGAATAAAGTGGTATAAAAAGCAAGTACTGGTTTTTCTCTTTTTTTTTGGCATGGAACAGTGAACATATATAAATAGTATTATGTAATCCAGAGTCCGCTTTTGTATTTTCTTTACTACATTCTTAGAAATGATTTCTGTGATATTGATATACTATCCTAATATCTGATCCATTGAAGAATTGTCTTTATATTTTTGTATTCTGGATAATCAGATCTTTATCTTTTATATCAGAAACTGATATTCACTTCCATTGAGAAGTATTACCATAACTGTAATGTTGTCTCTGGAGCCAGCCATTAAAGCAGCATTTACAAGTTCATGGCTGATATACTCAGCTGCACCTTCATAGAAACTCTTAGTGCATGTTTTTTCATTTTTACTTGAATCTTTTGGCTCACCATCTGCCTTGGTTGGTATGTTAGCTTCTTTCTTGGTGCTAGGATTACGATTAGTTATTTCTGGTAGAAATGTTTGTCCATTTTTAGAATCACGAGTGAAATATTTTGAATCAGACAAATTTTCTTTTGAATATGTACGTGACACATATCCTTTAGATTCTGATTTACTCTGAAACAATATATGGATCGTACTTTCTGATTTAGTAATGCTTGATTCATTGGTTGGGAAAAACTGAAGCTCTTTGGATGATGAAGATTTGTTTTGGAAGCTAGAACAGTATGTTTCTTTATACATGTGAAACATTGTCATTGCCAGTGCAGTGACTTCCTTTTTATCCAGAACTTCCCAGAGTCCATTAGTAGCTAAGATAAGGAATTGACATAAGTCATCTATAGGGACAGAAATAGTTTGAGGTGCTGGAATAATGAAATTTTTCAATTTAGGATTTCCATGAAATCCAAGTCCTCTTGTAGTTTTTATTTGCCCTTCTAGGAGCCCATCTGATTCATTTGAACTAATTATTGCTCCTTTCTTAAGTACTCTTCTTCTTTCATTGACGTTTTGCATGTTATGTTTTTTGGTTAGGCAAAAGCCTTTTCCATTTCTGCATAAGACTGCTTCCACAGTACCTAAAAGATTAAAAAAGAAATTGATCCTAGAGATTTAATAACAAATTATATCAAAATATGCTGTTAACTTTGTTTCAATGCATAAACAAAGGTCATTTAAAAATATTTTTAAAATGTGTAATACTGGTGTCATTGGATGATTAACAGTAATTCATATCAAACTGGGGGGCCAGTTTACCCCTTGCTTAAAGCAATTTAGTGTTTAAAATACTACACTTAGTATTAAAATTACAGATAATGAAAATCAAAATTTTTATGAAACAGCTTAATATTTTTGCAGAGCCAAAAGTTGAACTTTTTTATAACCAACATATTTCATAGAGCAGACATTTCTAAATGTTTAAATAGATTTCTTTTCATTTAAAAAGACAAACTTTGATGTTTAAAGAAGAGTTTGAGAATTTTGTAACTGGTAAAAGTTAAAACCGGAACATAGAGACACGTGATGAAAAAAAATTAGAATGCCACTGTTAATTTCAGTATTATTAGGATCTTGATGTGTGTGGCTAAAAAGAAACTAAGTCACTTAGCCCCGTGAAGAAAAAATATTATGTATAGTAATATATTAAATGGATAATAGCCAACATGAAATTAAACTCTGAAAATTGAAATCTTAAAAGTTGGTTGTAGATTGTTCATGATTCAGGTGAACCTGTTAGGTGTGTTTCATTGAAATCTGAAGAAAATCTACACATAACTCTGAACAAATTTAAAGATGGTTGTATTATCAATACTTTCTTTGGTTTATTAAAAAAGATTTGTTTGGTAGGGAAATAGATTTCCCCCAGGTTTTTAAGAACATAACTTGTATATTCAAGCGTAGGCAATAGTTTTTCTTGATTTGGAATCATAAAAAAGTATCTCAAATTCTGAAATGGGATTAATGATATTTGAATATTATAATACCTTTGAGAATGAAAATTTATGGAGTAATGAAAATAAATATACATTAGAATATTCTGTTTTCAAACATGATGCTGTGCCTGGAATCAGAATTTTGTTGCTTTGTAAGTTCAATTCTAATCCCATTTTTTTAGGTAAATGAGTTTTAAGTTTCAAGAGGCTGAGGTCCACACAACTAGTATAATTGGACAGAAAGCATAAGTTGGTGAAGGATTAGTGTCAGGAATAGACTGATCTTATTGGCTCATTGCATAATGGGAATTGTTAAAATACCTGAGCTATTGGATGGAACCAAAGGATGACGTATGTGGAAAATGTTTTGGAAACCTAAGAACTATCATGAACAAATGATAGTCCTAAAAATGAAATGACCTCTTTTATTTCTTGGTAGTTTGGTTATTAATATTTTGTATTAATGTCTTTTATGCTGGTCATTCTACTTAACACTCTTCAGAGAATAAATCTTGACTTTTGCTAGTTATAAATTACTGTACCAGCAAAGCAGCATGGAATGGTATTGAACATGCCAGGTGGGTAAACTGAATTGTATAAGGAGGACATATGGTTCAATACCTCTTCAATTAAGTTTAAACTTCTTTATGTGTGTACATGCACATAAATAGTGCAACCATTGCTCTGAAAACATGGCTCAGATGTAATTTGGCTCAGAACAGTCAGATCCACTGACTTCCTAAATATTTGTATGTGACAAGCCAAAGCCTGTTCAGCAAAAAGAAAAAGCATTGTTTCTCTACTGTGTTGTTTGAAAAGAATTTAATAGAATTATGTAGTTAATGGAAGGGTGGTAAACTGGTATTTTGATTTTTAGTTGCCTCTGCAGAGAGCTTGGTGAACATAGCCTTATGCACTATTTGTTTCTCCACACACACACACACACACACATTTTTAATACTGTGCCAGAGGTTAGAAAATGCCATTTTGGCTGATTTTACTTTAGTACTATATTCTAGAAGAAGGGACATTAAATCCTGGTTGCAGTTTTTGCTGTACCATTGATTTGCTGTCTGACTTTAGGTGAGGTACTTAATTTCTTTGACAGTTATTCATCCTGATAAAAAGGTGATAGTACCTTCCGAATAACACATCTTTACATGTGTAAATGGTATATGAAGGAAAGAAAAAGTGGAGAGGTTACCAGTATTTCTCACATATACATGCATAGCCCAGGAGGTAGAGGGATAACTAAGATCCAGGCTCTGGAAGAGCATTAATGGAACAGAGAAGGAAAATTGGATATGCAAAGTTAATCATTTTATTTCCTGGTCCTAGGGTTGCATATGCTGTCACATGCAAATGGGGTTGTTGAAAGCAGTTGACTGTTAAGCTGAAGGAATAGAATAATGAACAAAAAGCCCCAAGAAGGATGGAAAATTGAAGGAAGAGCTTAACACAGTATGTCTGTGTTTGGAAAATTGAAGAGAAGAACAAGTCATGACAGTTTCAAAGAGAAGACAGGTTGACTTTAAAGGGAACTGTGATGAAGACCCTTAAATAGAAATTTTAATGAATCTGAGCATAAGTAAGAATTCAAGTTCCTAGACATAAAGTTAACCAATTTTCAGTAGCCGGAGAGATCGTGCTCTTCAGAAGATGTTATCAAAACAAAAATGGAACAGGGTTACTGGGAGTGCAACATGTTTAGGAACATTAATCATATAGCAATTCAAAAACTGCTTCAAGATGTTACTTGAGCCTTTTTAAGATGATGTATATAGTCATGCAGAGTGTTCCTTACGCAGAGGGCACTGATGTAATTGCCTACTGCAATTGCTGGGTTATCTTCAGTTTGTGAAAAGCGAGAGTAACCCTGTTACCTTCAGAGTGACCTTAGACATCCCAATAGGGAATTCCAAATGAGCAAAATCGAGATTTTTTTTTTCCTCAGATAAAGCCAGCAAGTCTACTTACCATTGAAGATAACAGGAAAGTTATTAAAGAACTGGAGGAAAGAGGAAGAAAGGTTTTGTGTGGTGATAAGGAAAATACCTAGGATGCATGAGTGCCCTGGCATAAAAAGACAGCTTGTTTAGAAGAAACAGCATAGGGAAGTGGAAAGGCTTGACACACTTGAACTTTAATCCCAATTTTATATGTGTGCATCTTTCATTAAGTCACTTTATTTCCCTGAGTAACTTTTCTACCTGCAATGTTGTTTTGTCAAGGGTATTGTGAGAATTTAAGAATAATTTAGTAAGTACACAGTTGATAAAGGTTATTTTTCATTGTGTTCCATGAAGGGGAAAGCAGACGAAGAGAGGCTATCCAAAAGAGGTTGAGGCGAAGCTATAAATGTTTCTCTTCAGACCCATTTATGAAAAATTGTGAGAAAAGCCTTATGAAGTAGAATCATATAGGCTTAAGGGAGTAGGGAGCAGCTACTTGGAACTTGAGAAATGAGGAAGGACATGGTTATTAGGTAAAGAAAAAGGAGCATAAACTAAGGAAACTTAAACATGAAGTGAACTTAAAATTGAAGCATAATAGAAACACATGTAAATGATGTTAAACTAGTTTTTCTTTAGGACTCGATTTTGGCAAAAGAAACAATTTGTATGCACGGACACTAGGTTTATGACTCTTCCTACTGAAAGCATGAGAGTTGACTGATGTGAAGCTAGCTTTCAGTGGATGTTCAAAAGATGGTTGGTTCATTCATTTTGTAAGATGTATGTGCTCATGAAACTCATGTTCACCATTGTACATCTACAGCCTAACAATACTTTATGTGCCAATCTCAACTATTTGTCAAATATTCGTTGAATGTGTTCTCGAGAACCAGAATTGTATATATGTGAGTCCATCACCAACATTTCTCCCCTAAAAAAGTAGAGGGAAGGTAAAGTATATAAAATGTCAATATTATTTAAGAACATCATTTTCATTCCTGCATAAAATAAGGCAATTCTGAAGCTGAATTAGGTTTTAGAGGGAAAGGATACAGCTGGAAATAATTTTAAAAGCACACTATGAGTGGGCAGAAATATCTACATCTATAAAAAAAACTATAAAAAAAATAAAACCTTGACAGGAAAATCAAAAATTAAATGAGATCTGCAAATACTGCATCAGTTATGAATGAAGACAGTGAAGACAACAAGAATGAGATACACCCAAAAAACAAGATGCCTGGTGGTATTCACTTGAAGTAATGGGACTTCAAGTCTAAAGGACATGAGTCCTGGTTCATTCACCACTCTTTATGTAGTGATGTAACCTTATGTAATACTTCAGTGATCCTCAGTCTTCTCGTATATTTAAACGTGATTATTCTTTCCTTAAATGTTGTGAGGATTAGATAAAGGAGTCAGTTGGTAACCTGGAGAAGAAGGAAGGGGGCTTGACATGGCTAACAATTAAGGAATTGTGGATTAATAGAAAAGTAGTGAGTAAAGCCAGGCTTGGTTTTTGAATCTGGAGTGAGCTCATAGGACAGAAAACTAGGACACTAGGAAACAAAAGTTTCTGGGGCCTCTTTAAAAGGAATTTTTAGAAACAAATACACAATCTGAAAATAAAGATATTGGAATAGCAGATATGCAAAAACTAATACAAAAGAGCAATAATGTGGCCGTCTGATTTTTGGATTGACTCTCACTGAGAACCAGAAAATATCCTGGATATGTAAGTCATATGTATTGATGAGCTATAAAAAAGTTAAAAACTCTCAGGTCAAAAGAGTAATGGCTAAATCCCAGAATATGCCAAGAGCAAAAGCTGGCTTTTACCTAAGAGCATTTATGGAGCTGAATAATTTGAGCTTTTAATTTTCACAGCGTTGTTTAATAGGACACAAAACTTGGGGCTTGTCCAAGGTGGGGAAGACTAATGGTACTCCCCAACAAAGGTAGGACTCCAAAGGACCATGCCCTCACTGAAAACAAACCAGAAATAAACGTATGCCCCTCACCAGCACCCAGGATGCCAGAAAAAAAAAAAATGACTATTTCAAACCGATGCTGAACAGTAGAGGAAAGAAAAATCACAATTCAGAACCACCAACTTTCATGCACAGGCATACTTTGTTTTGTTGTGCTTTGTTTTATTGCACTTCACAGATGTTACTTTTTTAGAACTGA